GGACAAGTACAATGAAATATGGGACTCATTTATACAAAATACACTAGGTTAAAAAAAAAAAGGATAGTCATATAACTCTATTAGAAAGATATATGTACTTGAATAACATTTATATTAGATAAGCATACAAACTGGATACAAATAGTACACAGAATTGGAACTGTGTACTATTATAATGATATATTAACTTTTTTTTGGTTGTACTTTTTCACTTTTATGTTAAAGCATTTTTATGTATTTCTTCCTTTTATTAAAAGGAAAGAACATGAGAAAGAAACAGTGGAGTAAAAAAGGTATTTTTTTACATGCACGTGCATTTTAATGCTTTAGGTTTAGCTGCGTATATGTATTTGATGTGTGTGTATATACATGAATATAAGCACAAACACATACAAATATATAGGCCCAGGAAGATACCCATAGGAAGGAAAGTAGTTGGCAGATACTTTCCTGGAACAAAAACGTAGGAGGGTTCAGCAACAAGGAGTCCTCCTTGTCCAACGGGAGGACAATTGCAAGCTATTGCCAAGGTACCTCTCTCCTGGATTTTCTTAGGCTGGTTTAGAATCAAGTCAATCTGAACATAGGACAGCTTAAATGATAAAAGTATGGATATGATGTTGTTTGGTTTGAAAATATCCTTTGTGGTTTCTTTACAAAAATCTTATAAGAACGGGAAAAAACAGTGCTTCCAAGGAAAGACCACAGTCAATTTAAAGCACGAATGATGAACAGGAAGCATCTCCTAAACCCACCTTATCTAAATAATATTTCTGGTTCTTAGGCCTAGAAACTCATCTTTGCATCACACACTTTTCTTTTTTGTCTTGCAAATCCTTGCCTTCTGCTTCCCACAGTGAACTTAACCTGCTACTACAATAATGTATGCAGCTCAAGTATACTTTCTGCAAAATCTGTGCATTGCTTTGTGTTTTATAGTAGGGATTCTCCTAGAAATCCATAAAAATGGCTTACTCCCAGGTGCAGCTAGTAGGTTACAGTGCACTGAAGAATTCTCAGTACTCTGTTTGGCAAGCTCAGGAGTGACCTTCTGAAATCTCCAGCCACTTTGAGTGCCTTATGTTACAATTATAGCCACTCACATGTGCTACCCCACCGTCAAACAGATTTCAAGTCCCTGTTCAAGTCCTTGAGATGAAACAAAATGCTCAGCTAGAGTTGGAGAGGGCAGTGTGAAAATGAAACACAGTTGAAGATTTCTACTGGCAGACAAATCTAATCCATTTTGCCTT